TACGTTCGTCCTTTACGCTTACCTATGACTAAAATCTTGTTCGGGAGAAGAATCACGTCGATAATTTCCATACTCTCGATAAGAGCTCTCCCTATTTCGAGATGATCTGTACCTGTTGCTGCTACTGCTTGGACGATCATATTCGCTGTCTCTTCTATCTCTTTCACGATATCTTTCTCTACTTTGTCGTCTATGAAACATTGCATAATTACATTAATAGATTATTTATATATAGTACTATGCTCTTATATTTAATCCTTTTAAAATATACAAAATGTATCTGAAATTATTTGGACCAAACGTTGTTGTTAATGTTTCTATACATTGGTTGATGAAATATCTCAGACACCTTATACATTTAAATATAAATTAAATCAAAATTACCTATCACTTTTTTTGCTAATATTCCAGTCAGATTTACCACTCGAATCTATTGATTCTTTTGACCTATAATAGAGAATTTTAATTAATAATCATATAGAATTACATTTCTAACATACGTATGATATCCCTGATATATTTTCTTTAACAAATAATATTCAACATTTAAAAACGTACAATAATTTAATTGTTTCTTATTAATGCATAAACTAATGTTATTAGCAACTTTTTGGTACTTCATACGAATGTTATGTCCAAGTTCAAGCAATACTCAATGTAAAATATCCATATAAATATATATACGTATGATTTAATTAAAAATCAGTAAGAACTTTAATGCTCGTAAATATTGCAATACTTGACATAATATTATGTAATACTATTTAAGTAACGAATGAAAAAATATTTAATCAACTTAATGGATTAAACATAAGTAATCCACTTCTTAAATAATAATAATTATATTCATTCGAAAATTAAATATATTAATATCATATTCATATCGTTATTTTATTTATTAATAAATACTAATATATCAACATTAATAATAATTGTATTACATACTTGGAACGTCGAGAAGACGAAGAACGTTGGCTACGATGCCCTAACAAATTAGAAGATGGAGAACGTCTTCTAAATGATTCCGATTTGTTACCTGATGTTAATTGTTAAAATGTAAAAAGAATCTATTGTAAAAAAATATACAATTTTTCAAATGAAACTTCTTACACAATGTCAAATCCATTTAATGTTTGGGTAATTTATTTTACGCTAGCATAGAAGAGAAATAGAATAAGAGTCTGTGAGTTATAGGAAACGATGCGCATTCACATCTTATCTTTTCTAATATACCTAGCAATAAATAAATGTAAGAAGTTTAATTTTTTTCGCGTGTACTTAGTGATAAGTATCGCACAAAGTAATATTTTTATGTAAAAAATATTTATATTAAACACCTGTGTCTCCACTTTCAATAGCCATCACTGTACGACGTTCTTCGATTTCTTTATGTTTCTTGGAAGAACTTTGTAACTCTTCCCTTTCGAAGATTGGTTTTGAGCCTTCTCCTATTCAATGACACATGTAAAAAAGAAATAATTAGTTGTTCGAATAGCATATAATATCTGTTATAGAAATCAAATATACAATAGCGAATAAAATTCAAGCATTGGGACGTAATAATTTAAGCAATCCTATAAACTATTAAATTCGTGTCATTTTATAATCCCTATGAGTTGCTAATATTTTATATAAAAACATTTATCATATCTGTGTTATGTATTTTTTTATATTATTTACCGTTTGATTAACTGTAATTTTTCCTACTGTCGACAGTTGGGCTCACAATTATTATGAAACTATTTATTGTGGTCAAAGAAAAAGAATTATGTTAAATAATACTGTATATAAAATTATTTAACAATAAAATTTTCGTTTATTCGCTATTTATGATATTTTGTTTTTATTTCATTACGCACATGTTATATTATAAATAATATTTTCATTATTAACCTTTTTTATTCTTTTATATACATATCCTTTGATATGTATATAATGTAATATATCCGGATGAAATATTAAAAACTATTAACAAATATCACTCCAACATTATAGAAAGAACAGATATAAATAAATTCGCAATATCTTA